AGTTGTTGCTGCCCGCTGCCGACAGAGGCTGTTGCTTTTTCTTCTTGTTGTTGCTGTTGCTGTGCCGATGAATTCGTACTCGAAAGGTCGTTTCAAAGCGGGTTTCGTTGCCAGAGTTGCCAGTCTGTCGCACAAACCTGCTTTGCTTTACATTTTTTTCTCAACGAACCAAAAAAAAAAGCTTCTTTTTTCGTTTGCTTTTATTTCTGAAAGACACGCGAATGTGAGTCACGTATGAAGTAAGTAGAAACCGACGCTCTGCCTCTTCTGACTTCGCGTCTGACTCGTTAAAAACGCTGGCGAATGAGCGCGCAGGGCGCGCAGAGGCAGGCGTCGGCCTGCACGGCAGACAAACGTTGACGACGCTTACACTAAACAATAGTGCTGCTGCCTTTTCAGTATGTATAAAATAAGGCTAGTGCAAGTTGCGAATATTTGGCAAGCAAACTAGCGGAAGCAAAGCATTCGACCTCCATAAGAATTGATAATTTACTAAAACCATTAATTGGCTCCAATAAAATGATACATTTACGATTATGATGACGGGCTGCAGCAAACAAGCCGCAATTTCCGCTGGCTGCCGCTTCAAAAAAGCTAAATTTGACGGGAAAAAAAGCATACCCGACCAGCACTGCTTACTACTGCTGCTTACGTGTGTGCTATGAGCACCGCTCTCGCCCCTCTGTCCTATAAGCGGGCTGCGCTTGAGCGCGCAAAGTTTATAAAGTAAACAGCAGGCATTCCAAGCGGGAAAATTGCCTCGTTTTTTAATCTCAAAATACTTTGAGTGAGTAATTCTAGCTAATATGAATTAAATATTTATTCTCAGATTTTGTTTTCTTACTTACCGCCAATGCGATTGTTGTTGTTGTTGTTATTGTTTGGTAATGGCATAAATAACAGTAGACACGGCGCTTCTCTCTTTATCCGCATTTTTATTTCACTTTTATGACTCACGCTGTTGCTGTCTCCGTCGCGCTCACAGCAATTGCGTGTTGTTGACGTTGCCGTATTGTTGCTGCTGCTCTTGTTGTTGTTGTCGTTGCTGTTGTTGTTTAGTTGTAGCTGCTGTTGCTCGTTTCACACACATACAGCAGAGCACATACACACAGAGCTCTCAAACACTTGACTGGTTTAAATTTAATATTTATGCTGCCTATTTGGTATATAATCTCTTTTATTATTATATTTTGGGGAGGTACGAGTATGAGTCTTGTGTATATTATTGGTTTATTAGATAATCCCAGTGTGCTTATTCGTAACACTTGTTGAGCGAGCACTTCCCGTTCCCGTTCTTCTTGTTGTTGCTGCTGCTGTTGTGTTGTATTTCCACTTGTTGTTGCGTTTTCAAAATTTTGAACACGCGCACATTTATTTAATTGTTGTACAAAATGTTGTACGTTCTCGTTTCTATTTCTGTTTAAGTGACGATTACGCGCAATGCCAATAATTCTGGACCAGCTTGATTGGTTATGTGATACACAGCGCTACAAGATCACGTTTCTGATCTCTCTCGATTCTCTATCAATAAAGTTTCGTATCACTGCGACACGTATTTAGTAGGTTAATCCACTAAGTTCCCATGCTATAGTCTGTGTGGTTATATTTGTTATGCGGAATATTTCTTTCCAACAATATTGTCTGTTTTATTTTTTTCTTTTGAGCTCGCGTATATAAATCGACGTCCGTTCTACTCGAAAGTCTCTCGCGCTATGACAACAAACGAGGTGAACCCCGACAGAAGTAACGCTGATACGAAACGAGCTAACCAATACAGCTATACTAAAATAGCTGCTGCATGGTGCGTGTGGAAGCGAGAGAGTGAGTGAGAGCGCCATAACATCTGTTGGTTGATGCAAAAGAGAAAATACCAAAAATGGTGTTAAAATGTACTAAAAATGACCTGTTATGCGTACAAAAGGCGGGAAATAGAGTTATCAGAAAACTTGTTACGGAAAACGTAAATATTGCATATAAACACTAACCATATGTTAACTCTATGATTAGTGATATGAATTAGTTTGACTATAACAATTATCATGCATTTGAATTCTTAAGTATTATATAAATCCATTAAAAAAATCATCTGAAATATAAAAGAATCAATTTTATTCAACTAGCTTTGCAATTTTTTTAATTTGTGAAATTCTTAAACATTTGGTAATTTTTTTTATAAGCAATTGGAAACAATTTGAATTTAACGAATACTGATTATTTGAATGCCTTTCAGACACTTGGTATTTTTAGTATTAAAAGTATGTTTCTTGGTTCAAACTTTGTACTTCGGAAGGTCTCTTTTTTAGGCCCTTTTTATTTTTGTATGTTTTATTACTTTTTAAATACGATAGATGGCGCAAGCACAGGTTTGAATAAAACGCTTTTTCCGTTGTGAAAATTTTGATTTAATGAACCTCTAAATTGGCAATCATTTCGCGATTTGACTAAGTGACTGCCAGCCGCCAAAGGCGCGCTCCAGTTCCACAGCTACACGCAGGCATAGACGATCCTGATACGGAGCCGCAATCACCGAAAATCCAATGGGCAAACCCTTTCTATTTAGTCCCATTGGCACATGCGTTGCCGGCAGACCCAGTACATTGAAAAGAAGCGTATAGTCCACACCCCACAGCTGCAACGGTGTCCAGCCATGCTTCGGAGCAGGAGCATGCATTGTGGGAAAGAGTAGGACGCCGTTTTCACCCAGAAGTTGCTAGAGGATTAAAGGGAAAGAAGGTAAATAGATGTAGGTGGCAGGTGTTAGGCGGCAGTACGTACAGTCAACTCTCGAGTGAGCGCCAGTGCCTCACGGTGATATTTCTCCAGCTTCTGGACTGACATGAATGCATTGCAACGACGCATCAGATCAAAGATCAAGGCATTCGTAGTGTAACAAGATTTCCCGTAAAGACTTTGCATCAGCTGTTTCAGAGTCTCCCGCACTTTGCTCTCAGCTCCAGCTGCGGGTCCAGCGTCCAACACAAACGGCATTTGACTCAAGCGAGCTATGCCGCTGAGCGCTATCTCCAGGGAATTGTCGAATCCTGACAGCTTCGCCTGGTGCACGGAAATTTCTAGTTTCTGCAGATGTTCCACAGCCTTGAGTATGGATGCTTTAATTTCCGGCTCCACCTGTTGGTGCATCCAACCGTTCAGACCCTGAAAGCCCAAGGCGTAGTGCACCTGCAACTGCTTCAGCTGGAGCGGCTCATGCAGACGCAGCTGCACCGCCTGCTCACCGGCCATCAGCTCCAGCAGCTGGGGGAGATCGACGGCAAATCGGGACATCGGACCCACCACCAGATACTGCTGGAAATCTGCATCGCTCGAGTCGGGAAAGTGACCCGCCGGTGTGACCACGCCCCCGGTGGGCTTGTGGCCAAAGATGCCGCAAAAGAAGCTGGGAATGCGTATGGAGCCACCGATGTCTGAGCCGATACCAAAGAGCGAGGCGCCAGCTCCAATCAGAGCGCCCTGAAACGGATTATAAGATTAGTCACAGAAACATAAGATAGTCTGTACTGTACTCTCACCTCCCCGCCTGAGCTGCCACCCGGCGTGCGCTCGAAGTCGAAAGGATTCAAGCAGCGTCCATTGAGTAACGTATCCGTATCCGTGGAATAGCAGTACTCGGGCGTGGCTGAGACCAGCAAAGGAATCGCTCCAGCATCGCGAATCCGGGCGACCACGACGCCATCTGCTGTTGCTTTCAGCTCACTCCTGGCCAGACTGCCCACGGTAAACGGCATGTTGGCCAGGGCGCAGGACTCCTTCACGGTGACGGGCATACCCAGCAGCGGTTGCCTCTCGAACAGCTGAGCCGCATTCTCGCCCGCTGCAGCTATGCGCTCATCCACAGTGGCGGCGTCCCGCAGAGCCTGCGCAAAGCGCTCCGACACGACTGCATTCAGGCGGCTGTTCACGAGCTTTACGCGATCTATATAGGCGTCCACCAAATCCACTGCGGTTATCTAAAAGATAAAACGAGTTTAAAGTCCAAAAATTAAGTGAAATATACAAAAACAAAGATTTAAAGTCAATCGGACAAAGGGCATACAGGCTTTCACAAAGATAACTGTTTGTTCTTCCGCTGTCCATCACTTCTTCTTCAGTTACCTGCCGCCGACAGAGACGTGTGCGCAGCTCCTGAATACTAAGCACCAGCAGCGGATTTATGCTGGCTGGCAGGCCATAGGGTCTAATGCGACGTCCGCATGCCCAGATATACGCACTTTGCAGAGCGCTCGCAAAAATAGCAACAAATTTCACGAATATTAACAGTAAACGCGGTATTAATTCCATGACGCAAGAGAAGAGAAACGAGAATTCGACTCCCTCGCTTCGAAGCCGGCTGCACACTGACTAAATGAGCGCAAATAAATGGATTATAAAATCTTGTTTACATAGTGCAAGGGAGAGTGAGAAAGAGAGAATGTTGTGAAGAGAGTGAACGTTCGAAATCGATGTGTGTGTAATTAAAAGAACTTAGAAAGTTGAATACAGTGTTGCCTTCAAGGCCAGATAGCTACAAGAAAAAAGCTAGAACACGCTAAAAGGAGACTCAGGGCGTTTCTGGGATAGTAATTTGTAAGTTGTCGTTTTCCTAATAGTATAAGCTTTAAAAATTATTATAAACAAATTCAATGAATATATAATTCCTTTCACAATAGTAGCCACATTCTGTGTTTTTTAAACAGAACAGCTGACGGCAAAATAGCCAGATTCACAGCACTGGTGTTAAGTGATATTGATACACGCACACAAGCGTTCAAAATGAGTATTTCTCAATCATGCAGAGAGTAAGAGAGCCAGAATGAAGAGAGAGCAGAAGACTGAACGTGATTGGTGTGCGTGCTGAACGTAACTCAAGTAAGCGAGAGAGAGTGAGAGAGAGAGAGAGACTGAAAGTTCTACCTGCTGCACAGCTGGCTTAGCTCAGCTCCAAGCTTTGAGCGAAGCTTTACTAATACACATATGCCATCGCTTACACACATACTAAGCCGTTATTATTTGAATAAAACTCTTTTTGTTTTTATTGCGAATATCAACTGAACCGTAACCTTAACTAACCATTACTGCTATTTGTCTAGAAATTGAGCACTGGGGTGTCCGGAACGGCAATCTGATGCAGCACCGGCGGCGTCCAGCCAAGGAAAGCTGCCTCCATTTCGGCGGCGATCTGCAGGCAAAGTTTGTCCTGATAAGGCGCCGCTATCACCTGAAACCCGACGGGCATGCCACGCAGACTCAGGCCCATGGGGATGTGTGTGGCCGGGAAGCCCAACACATTGAACAACAGCAGACTATCGATGCCCGTGATATTGAACAAGGAAGTATGAAAGTTCAGAGCAGTCGAGTGAAAGGTGGGCAGAAACAGAACTCCGCGATCTCCCAGCAATTCCTATGAAAAAAGAAAAACGTCTTATAGAGCATAATTCATAAAGGACATCTAGTGCATTTTACCGTTAGATACGCTCTGATCCTGGCTACCTCATCCCGGTACTGTTGCATTTTATTCGTGGATATCATGCCATTCAGCCGCTGCATCAGCTCCAGAAACAGCGCCTCCTTGGTGAACAGTGAATGGCCAATGATGCTGTTGAACATCTCCAAGACCACGAGTTTCATGTTGGGCGGACGATCGGCCTGCTGAGTGATAATGCTGGGCAGGCCCTTCAGATCGATCAGCGCCACAATCACCAGCTCAAAAATGTTGTCCAGAAAACTGAGATCGAGCTGACAGAGGGTGAGGGTCAGATATAGAGAAAGATGAGAAGGTATGATTAAAGTATTTGATGACAAGTTGGACTAACCTGTTTGGACTTAATGCCCGCCTTGCCTAAGCATGTGAGAGCGCGCACCATGGCTAATTTGATGTCATCGGCCACATACGGATGGGTTAAGCCGTTTAGTCCCGGATATCCATACGAGTAGTAGATCTATGGAATGGAATAGTTAAATATGTTGTAGCCAGGTATCGCTGACTGCATTATATATACTCTGTTCTGGTGGTACGGTTCTGAACTTTTGAAATTTACAAATAAAAGCGCCCTCTGTTGTCATTATTTTTAATGCTTAACTGATCTAGTTTTGAATAAGTGACAAAGGTACCGCATATGAAGCTAAATTAAGGGATAACTAATATACTCTTTATCAACAAAGCCTTGCCCCAACCAAATATTTCCTACACTTATAGACACAGAGTATTAACATTTTATACTACATTCATACACTACTTCTGCATTTAGTCTAAATTACATATACCTCCATGTCTATAGCGAAATGAAGTTTACATATATTAGAGAGCTACTTCCGGACTAGCAATTCCATATCGAGTGTTTCTCCTGAGTTGGAAATTCTATAAAACTCATATACCCCTATAAATATATCGAACAAAGCATGCGTATTTTCAGATTTTCCACAACCCCACCCTATATACCACCCACAGAGTATTCATAATTGAGAGCACACTCATATCCTACTTTGAGTTCGTTGAGCGGCACCGGCTCATTCATCTTCAGTTTGTGTTTGTTGTCGCCGGCCATGATCTCGAGCAGCAGCGGCAGGTCGCGTGCGAAGCGTGTGATGGGCCCCAATTGCAGGTAAGTGGTCAAGTTCTCGTCGATCAGCGAGCTGGGGAAGTGGCCCCTTATCGAGGTGAGTCCGCCCGTCGGCTTGTGGCCGAAGACGCCGCAGAACATGGCCGGCAGCCGGATGGAGCCGGCAATGTCGGAGCCAATGCCAAACAGGGAGGCGCCGGCGCCATTCAATGCGCCCTCGCCGCCGGACGAGCCGCCGGAGCTGCGTGTCAGATCGTAGGGATTGCGGCAGCGACCATTGGCCACCGTGTTCGTCTCGAAGCTCATGCAGAACTCGGGCGTGGCCGAGACCAGGAGCGGAATGGCGCCAGCGGCGCGCACCAGCTCCACGACTTCCCCGTCCCTGGGCGCCTTCATGCCCTTGCGTATCACGCTGCCCACGGCATAGGAGAGACCTCGATGAGGAGAAAATGTAGACAAAGAAGAGGAGGAGCACCAGTTAAAGTGTCATGCTTACCCTTCACCCCGCACGATTCCTTCACCGTGAAGGGTATGCCCAAGAGCGGGTAGCGCGTGAAGAGCGCAACGCGATCATAGTCCAGCGATGCCTCCGCTATCAATCTGTCCGCATGCTTGGCCTCGAGCAGCGCCTCCTCGAACCGATCCTCGACGACCGCATTCAACGAGGGATTGACCTCACGCACGCGCTCAATATACACCTCGACCAGTTGCTGTGAGGTGAGCTGCTTGGCGATAATACATTTGAATAAATTTCAATTACACAATTCCGTCTGATCGAATATCACCTGGCCTCGTCGCAGTGCCGTCACCAGTTCCAGAACGGGCCTCAGCAGCAGGGGATGCCTGATGGGCGGGAAGTCGGGCTGCTGGCGACTAATCACATATTCCAAAATTCGATTCAGCAGCAGTGCCAGATAGGATAGTATAAGCCCGAAAAGCCGTATAATGATCTCCATTTTGTAAGTTTTTCTATAGTATTTGATATTATTGTTGCTTTACTTTGCTGTTGTTGTTGTTGTTGTTGTTCTTTTTTTTTTTCGTTTCACACAGGTCAACACAGGTGAGACTAATTGATATTCACTTTTTTTTTTTTTTTGTACTTTGAGTCTCTTTGACTATTACTTAAGTTCCACGTTCCACTGAGCCGCCACTGAAGGCGTCTACTGCTCGCTTCTGGGTTCTAACATGAACTACGCCTCGTCAAATGCTTTCGGATTTAATTAGCTCCGGATAGTTGCAGCTGAATTTTAATGACAACGAGCTCCAGTGCTGGCAAATGCAAGAATTTTGAGTTAGCCCAGGGCTGGCGCGCGCTAAGCCATTGCGAACTGGGAAATGGAGAAATCCCAAGTTCCCAAAATTAAAAACAAATACAACTTTTTCATTTATATAAAATCCGAATTCATTTTATATAAACAAAAAAGTTTTCTCAATTTTGACAGTTCAATTAAATTTGATTGAAAATGTCGAAACTTAACTGCTCAACTAATCAAAATTATTTTGATAGTATTCTAAATAGTTCTCATTATTGAAATTATGTTTTCATTTAGTAATAATATTTTTTTTTCTTTATTTTTTAAGTATGGTAATATTTAAGTTATATTTTCTTTCGAACTTCTTTTTTTTTCTTTCGGAATTTACGGTTACGCAACTGGAAGTTACTCTAATATCTATCTTTGCAGTCATACTAAAAATTCTTCTTCTTGATAATTGTAAGAGATGAGCTTTTGAATAACTCTACTGATTATTATAGACAAAATTCAATTTTCTATATGGCAGATGACTGAAATATCTAGTACTTCTTATTCGTGAATAGCTAAAAAAATGTTTATTGGGTAAAGTTTTACCAGTAATTGATATTTACTTTTATCGATCAATAACAAAAATGAGCGATTATCGGATAAGCTGTGTGATTATATACGTTGAATTAGATCGATTCTTGGATGAAGACATTGAAAGAATTTATAGACTTTAAGCGACCTGCCATACAATCAATCCATACAAGATACTAAAACTTCAATAAAAACTATATACCCCACATATGTTCATTCGTAGTACAGGGTATATATAAAAAAAAAAAAAAATGATAAGAAAAGATATGAGTACCAACGCTTAAGTAAATTCGTGATTAATTTTTGTTTTTCACATAAATATTTTATTTATTAAATGTTGTAGTTATTGTAACACGTTTACTTAAATGCTACAACTAAACTAAAACCGTTTGAATTAACTAATCAGTAAGTTAATAGAGGTATCAACGGATAACAGTTCACAACAAATCTTGAACCAATCAGGCAACGTGGAATGGAATCAAACTATAATATATACATGAACATATTTCTATATACATATGTATATAGACAGAGAGAGAGGAAACAAATTTGGAATTTAAAATACGTATGCTTTAAGTATAACAAAGTTAACATATTTAGGCAGCTCGGCATAGACGCGAAATTCATATCATATTTCATATTATATATAACTGGTATACGCTTATCATACAAATATTATTAGATATATAGCTAGGTATATATGTATGTATGTGTGCAGAGCAATTACTGCGCTAGCAGTCGCTTCCCGATATTTTCCAATTCAAATTGACATTTATACACGGATATGATATAGGTATAGGTATACATATACATATACATATGTATATATATACCACAATATATGAGCACTTGTATATATATTTATTAGTTATTTTTATTTTACATCAATGTTTCCTTATTTGTTGGTTAATAATTGTTTTGTTGGTGATTTCTGATATTTCGCAATGGGCGTCTGTCTGTGTATTAGTTATATGGATATATGTATTTATACATATATCACATATATGTATATCTATGTATAAATGAAAAAAAAATAGTGCTTCAGTTGGGATATGCTATGCGTATGTTGATTGATATTATAGTCAATACAATTAAAAGTAATACCTATATTACGATTTATTATCATTATCATTATCATTATCATTAAAAGTAGCATTATTGTTTTGATGATTATTTATGACTATTATACCTTTTATTAGTATTAGCATTTGTATTAACATTATCATTATCATTATCATTAGCATAAGTATTATCATTGTGATTTTCATTATCATTGCCATTAGTTCTATCATTTCATTATGTATGTAATATCATTGACATGATGATTATCATTATGATTATATTTATAATTGTTATTCTCATTATTTTTCTATTACAACTACAGTTACACATTATTATCATTATCATTAGTATTACTATTACTATTACTATTATTTTTATAAATTTGTGTGTAGCCGCATATAATATTTAGCATATATGCAATATATGTATAGTCATATAGATATACTACATAAGCTAATCACCTTAAGGCTCATAGCTTATCCCTTTATAATTATTAATTTATTTATTGTCTAAAACATTTGCCTCAACTCCACTACACGTCCATTCTAATAGCAACTAGTGGCTAAACAAATAGTTCCATTCACTAACTAACACACACCTTTGGCTGCTTAAAATACAAACACCGCAACGAATTTTGAATTCGATTGGCGTCCGGGCGGGATCCAGGACTTTGGCGGAGCATTTACAAACAATCTGGAATAGAATTCAAACGTGGACACAGCATGCCGCGGGGCTCTCGGGAATGCTGTGCCGGCGATAAAGCAAATGCAATGCCAAAATCGGATCCAGCTGCTATCATCATCATCATCTCCTGCTCCTCCTTCTCCTTCAATTCAAACTAAACTCAATACTGATCTGGCGGCGCTTAGGTCATGTGCAGATCTCCCTTGAGGATGCGCATGAACGTCTTCTTGAACTGCTGATTGGCCAGTGCATAGCAAAAGGGATTCATTGGACTGTTGGCATAGCAGAGGAAGTACGAGAACATGTACAGATGCTCGTTGGTGCACGGCGGATTCCGGCAGAAGCCCTCGACCAGGGCCAGCACATGATACGGCGTCCAGCAGGCCACAAAGCAGCCCAAGATGAAGGAGATGGTGCGGAACGCTTTGCGTGCACGATTCTCGGACTTGGACTTCTGTCGGCTGCCGCCGATGCCCATGACCAGGGGCAGAGCCTTCTTGCTCTTGAAGTGCTTGCCAATGGAGTGCATGAAGTGACGTTTGCTGGAGCTGCGCCGCGACACGCCGCCCTCATCCGCATCCTTGGCATCCTTCAGTATGCCACCGGCTGCACCCGCCGAACTGCTGGTGGTGCCCGATGTGGAGGGCATCTTATTGGTGTTCGTCTCGGATGCCTCGCGCTCATCAATCCGCTCCAGCTGAACGACAGCGGGCGCTGGCATTGGAGCAGCAACGGGCGGCTTGGGAGCAACTCCCGCTGCTCCCGCCGCATTGCCCACAGCTGGAGTGGGTTTGAGTGGTGGCGGCATCGGCGAATAGAGCACGGCATCCTTGCTGCTCGTCTCCATGGGACTGGAGGCGCGTCGATGCGGGCACTCCGCCTGGACACGATCGTTGCCGCCGGGCACGTCCAGCAGGCAGATGGCCTCGATGCAGCTCTCGCGTCGCACCTTGGCGAAGTCCTCGATGCCTGTGTATGAGACGAGAAGACGTTTTTCAATGGCTACCTGTTCCTCGGACTGGGATTGGCTGTCCGTTGCCTGCTGCTGCGGCTGTGGCTGTGGCTGTTGGCTGGAAACGGTGGGGGAGCTTTGGAGCTGTTTGCGTGCGGGTGGCGGTGGTGGAATGGCACTGCGCTTTGCCGAGGAAACGGACGTGGGTCGTGCGGAGCGCGAAGCACTGTGGGAGCAGCTGACACTGTCGTTCGTGGCCAGCATGGCTGAGCTCTCGTCCATGTAGCGTAGCTCGGAGTTGTTGGTCAGCAGGTCGTAGGTGTTGGCCAGTTCGCTGTTGCCGGAGCTGTTGCCGAACGGACGATCCGAGTAGTCGGACAGGGGCGTGGGGCACTGGAAGGCCTCCGGCGGCGGCAGGATGGCCTGCACCAGGCACTGTTGCACCTGGTCGCACGGCACCTCGATGGGCGCCAGGTCCACGGGTGAGAGCGGGTCTTGGTCATTGGCTGGATTGGAGGTTTGATGGATGTCAATGAAGCGTTCATGCTCGGCTATCTGGGACAGAGTGGAGCAGGAGGTGCGCTTGGGTCGCTCAAGCAGCGTATGCGCCTGATACTGCCCCATGCCCACCTCCTCCTTGCTCTGGGCACGCTGCAGGCTCGTTTGCTGTGCCAGGTGCTGATGGTGTGGCGAGCGGGCGCCCATGGAATGCATGGCCTCAATCGACTTGGAGCTGGTGGTGCTCAGTTGCAAGTTACCTTTGCTGCGTGTCGCCAGGAGCGCCGCCTGCGCCCCGAACACCAGGCCAATGGAGGAGCGCTTGCGCATATTGTTGAGCTTCTGTTGATTGATCAGCTGCTGCGTCTGATTGACCGAGGACTCCTCATCCGAATCGAAGGCCGGACTGCTTGAGCGTTCGCTCTTCTCTGCCTCGGCCGCAGCACGCTTCGATTCCTCCAGTTTGGCCTCGGATGCGCGTCGCTGTTCCGGCGTCAGTTGCTCAAGGGACACGGACTCGGCGACCTGCGCCAGCGGATTGGCCTGGCCGGAGCCACTGAGACGCTTCACTGTCGTCGTGCAGGTGCCGCCATCCAGATCAGACAGCTGCACCTTTGTCTTCAGTATCTTCTCCTCGATCACACCGATGCCGGCCGCATGACCCGCCATGCCGGACATGGCGCCAGCGCTGAGCGCCACCATCGACTGCATCTTGCGCTGCTTGGCCTCGCTGCGCTTCTGCATGTCGTAGGCGGTCTTGTAGATGCCCGCATACAGCACGAACAGCACAATCAACGTGGTCCAGTAGTAGCCAATGATCAGGGCCGTGTTGAAGACCGGATCTTTGAGAAACTGTACGGCACACTGGCCGGGCAACAGATCACGTTTGCCCGTAAAGTGCTCCCAGCCAAAGATCGAGATGAAGAACAGCAGCGTGGGTATGATCCAGGTGATGGATACCATATAAATGACCCGAGTGCGAGTACGCCAGCTGCGATACTTGGCCGCAATCTTCACCGAACAGAAGCGATCGATGGTGATCAGCAAGACGGTGTACTGGGAGACCAGGCAGACGGTGTAGTCCACAGACAGCCACAAGTCGCAGAGTAAAGGTCCCAGATCCCAATAGCCCTTCAACACATAGATGGTATAGAAGGGCATCGAAACGGTGCCTACGCATGGAAGAGAGAGAGAGAGAGAGAGAGAGAGAGAGAGAGGTAAATGTTAAAATATATTACTTTTAAGAGTCACTAAAGCTTAATCTATTACTCTGCCATCAAGTCTGTCATAAAGTCAAGTCAATTAAGGCATAACATCAGTCATCATCAATCAATATACGAATGAAAGTTCAGTCAAGCAATAGATAATTTATAGAGATTAGACAGTAAATTGGTTAAGTTAAGTTATCTTATTAAATCAATCAATCAACACTTCAGCTTAATCAATCAGTAATCAATCTATGAGTGAGCATTCAATCAATGAATCGATCATTTAGTTAGTTGGTCAATCAGTTAAGCATCCACATGCAATGAATTATGAATGACCCATTCCCTCAGTCAATCATTATGTCAATCAAGCAATCAGTAGTCGCGTAAGTTATATTATCAATCAATCAATCACTCAGTCAATTAGTAGTCAATCGGCGTATCAACGACTTAGGTTAACCGGTGATCCACAAAGTTGATCAACCACTCAATCAATCGCTAGTCGCTGAAGTTATTTAGTAAATTAGTCAATCACTCAATCATAGTTACTAAATCATTGCGATATTCCTTAAGTCTATCAATAACTATGTCAACCAGTGAATCAAAGCTGATCAATCACTCAGCTCATCACTTAGGCATTTCATCAATGAATTAATTATAGATTTATAGCAGTTAATCAATCAGCAGTTCATTGCTATAATCACTGTATACGAATCTATTAATTAGGCAGTCACGCAAAGGTTTAAATAATCGATTAATCAGTCAATTATAGATCAGATTAGTCAGTGAAATACCCAATCTGTCAGTCCATCTAATAACCTGTATAACTTAGATAGACAGTAGTTAGCTCTGCTCTCCACCCACCTATCAACATATCCGTTGCGGCCAACGAGGCTATAAAGTAGTTGCTGGGCTGTCGTATATTCCGATCGACAATGAAGGCCAGCAGCACGAGAATATTGCCGCCCACCGTCAGAATGATGCAGAGGAACAGGCACAGCGCAATGGCGATTGTCTGCCACGTTTCGAATGGCGGCAACACCAGTGCCGGTCCGCTATCCTCCATGGGCGTGGCGCTCGTCTCCGTCGAGCTGTTCCGGCCAAAATTCGTCAGGTTGGCACCGAAATTGCGATACCATTGAAACTGCTCGTTGGGTGACCAGGTGTTAAAATCAGTTATTTCGCCATAGATCTTGGCCGCCTCCAACAAGCGTTTGCATTCCGTGTGCTCAACGACCCGATTATAGAGACCACGGCAGAGATTCTCACGCTCCTTTCGTACGCGCCTAAGGGAAGAGAATTTGTGTAAATAGTTATATAGACATATAGGATGATGTATGTATTAAAACTGAAATCTTTTATTCTTAAATATATATATAGGAATTTTGTATTTTTATTATATCTAAATATTAGACTAACGATCCCTTCATGTGGAATTCTTTTGAAAATCTAAGATTTATTAAATTGAAATATAATGCAAACTCAATCAATCTATATCTCATCAATGATATAATTTGCTATGAGTTAATTTTTTGATACAGGATCGATAGATGAGAGACCGAACCCTATAAAGCATGTAGAACTTTGATTGAGGTCTCTTTAAGCTTAGCGTCTATAAAAACATGAGCGCTTACCTATAATATGAAGCACGCATTAAGTTTGTTTCAAGTACTGAATTGCCAAAATTGTTCTATAAAATTCTCATCAACAATCACTAAGCAAATCTCGTTTGCTTTGAGAGCTAGAGTTACCAAAAATTTGAAATGCTCTTGTGCAAACTCTGATAGTAATTGTAGTCAAGCCAAAACACGTAAAATCCTTTTATTTTCCACTCCACTTACCACTCGGTTATCCAGTTGGATTTAATGCTGTATATGGATTCGGTTCGATTCGCAGCATCCAGGGCAGCAAGATCATCGTCGGTGCTATTAAAGCCGCTTGATTTGGCCAGCGAGCGCATTTTGATTGGTTTCTAAAGCTGCTGTTGATTTTCTTTTCGATTTTCCAATTTTCCCTTACGTTTGCTCTTGTTGTTGTTGTTGTTGTTGTTGTGAGTCAGCCTTGTTCTTATGTTAATATCCCAAACGATTTTCCTTTGTGGCTTCCAACTGTCCAACTACTCGAGATTGGGCATCGTTGTGTCTGACGTCTGTGTGCTTGGCCCAGTCTCCTGTCCGTTGGTGCGCAGCATCTGAAATAAAAGCAAGAAAACTACTGAGTGAAAAATGCAACAATAACAACAACAGCAATAGCAACAATAATAATAATAATAATAATAATAACGAAATCATTCGAAGGAGCTGCTAGGCATTTGCAACAGTTGCCGTCTCGACCTCGGTTTCCGCCAAAGTCTAAACTAATTTCGTAGCCCCTAACACGGCAGGCAGTTGCTTCTGGCCAAATAGCGAGAAGTCAGTGAGCAATGAATCCAATTTCGAAGGCAACATTTGCATCCTGTTGCTGTCCTTGGCGCTCATTATGTTGTGGCACGATTTATGCCCTCTCTCTGCTACTTGACTCTGAAGTGGCCAACACTAGACGCAGTTTCCCCTCGCTTCTGCTCTGTTTTACCTTGTTTTCTGCTTCTTCCGCATTGCCCCTTCCCTTGCCTCCTAACGCTATTTATTATTTAAAACCAAGTATTCGCAGAGAAAAACTTTGTCCGGCCGTTGCCGCCGCTGCAGACTGTTGCATTTGTCGCTGTCGTTGCCAAGGACTACAAATTGCAACATCAAATTGAGTTAGTCGAGTTTTCAAATATAATTTTCAACAAATCGATAAATTTGTCTTCGCAAATTCTTCAGCAAACAAATTGAGTTACGCATGCACAAACATGCAGGCGAATCTACATGCGTATGCACATGTGCCTTTGTTTGAGTCTTTGAGTTTGGTTTGTTTGCCATTGCTTTGACTTATTATGGTCTATTAATTGACTGGAAATTCAATTACTTAAGACAATTTGCAACATTTCGAGTGGCTCATCGCTTGTTGAGCAAATTGCTTCGTGCACTTTGTGGCATGTTTATTTGATCCGTTTGGCCGCATGTCAAATAGGTGTCTGGCCAATTGGTCTTTCAATCATTGAGCATTTGTAGCTTTCTTTTGCTGCACCTCAATCAAGCTGAAAACCCAATTTCTATGCTAATTGACTGCTTTGACTCCGTCTGGTTTGTCAGCTGCATCAAAATTCCGGCTACAACATTGAAATGGGTCAAAGCTCTTGCCTTCAGAGCATCACAAACGCCTTCGTGTCCGACTTAAGATTCGGACATTTACAATTTGTATACCGAAAATGCTTTGAAATATATTTAAAAAAAAATTCTTTTGTGTAAGTGTGCGCTGAAGGTAAAAGACGTAAGCTCCTTAAAATATGCTTTGACCATGATGGGCACGTATTTAACCTTTAGAAAAGAGACATGCTGAATAGCTTACTAAAGTCTATTACATTTTTCTATTCATTTGTTTATAGATGATGATAATTTTCTTTGAAGTCCAAACTTAAATCAAAATTGATATAAACATCTTAATAAATTGATTTTCTAAACTCTTTGCTTTTTCAATTTATCGATAAGCATCGATTTTTGTATCGAAATCAAGTTCTTATATTTCGATTAGACGATGCCTAATACATATGCTTGAGAACATATTAACATGAACAAATATTTTAAAATTTTATGAAAAACGAATATTTTCTTTTCTGTTCAGTCATTTATTAACTATAAATTATTTCCATAAATTTTATAAATAATGAGTATCCATTAATTTCTGTAATATACCTCACTTTAATCCATTTTGACTAAATATTAAAGACTGGTAACTTTAGATAAGAATTTGCTTTGGTAAAGGTTTATGTATACTCATAATTTATTTTTTTAGAAATATACCTATGTTTATAATAATTTACATGAGTTCTATAGCCAGAACGAATTGAGTTCCATCTGCGAATTGCCTATCAGGATCACGTACCAACGATGCTTCGGATTCCACAAGTTTGTTATATACGTATGCCAGCCTATATACAGCCACAAATAATTGTAAACTGAGGAATTGACTTGCTTTGCCTTCTTCAATATTATTCAAATGAGTTCTATAGTCAGAACGAATTGAGTTCCATTTGCGGATCGATCTTTGGTAGCGCCTCGATGGCTGTGGCGATCACATGGTATTATTTACGTGCCTTCGATGCTTATACCAACGATGCTTCGTATTCCACAAGCTTTTGTTTATGTTGTATTGGTCTATGCTTCTGTTTTAGCATTTGTTTGCTTCTGGTATACAAATTCAAAAAGATCTAGGACTGTGCGAATTGACTTGATCTTTGGCATCTCCATAGCGATGGCTATCAGGATCACGTGGTATGATTTACGTTCACTTCAATGCTTATACCAACGACGCTTGGGATTCCACAAGTTTGTTATGTTTCTGTTTTCTTAATTTTGCATAAATTTGAAGTGTATCTTTTTGATTTAGCATTTGTTTTTTCTGATTTAGCATTTGTTTTACTTCTGGTATACATTATAATTTTAATTGGGTATTTTTATTGCTTCATTATTATTAAGAATTAATTATTACTATTATTATTTTAAAAATATAGGCGCCAGTTGAGCTGGCGTGAATGAGTAAAGGATTGAGTAAATGTATTTGAATGATTCGCTTCAGATACTCATTGTTCACTTTCTACCTTAGACTTGCTCTCTCTCTCTTGCCTTTGCTCATATTTCTAATGCTATTATATCTCATGTTAAGTATAAAATAGGCGCACAAAGACATTTCCCTAACAAGAAAGCGAAGCGGGCAGAACTCTTAACGTTGGCGTTGTCAAGGTAATACGTGTAATCCCTGCCATTCAATAGTCACAAGTGCAGCACAGCTGCCCAGCTACTTGTGCAGGGAAAACACCTTGACGACCCACCACCTGGCCTTGTGGTTTTGCGCGCTGGCCCAGCAAATTAACCGCAAGCGGATATTCACGCAGCTCAAAAGGCATTGCAATAGTAGGCGCTTTAAAGCCTTAAGAGAAATCTATTTATCCATAAAACGGGCTGAAATATTGCGCGGTGCAAGCAAGCAGGAGCTCGACTAATAAGGCGAGCGATTCGAGTGAGTCAATTAAATAAGATTACATAATATTTCAGATAGAGTGTGAGAAGAAGCAAAACATATTTAATAGATATAGCAACAAAATGTTGAAGCACATGTATTAAAAGTATACAAGTTCCAAGATATTTGAGTAGCGCAATTCGTTAGATACCCTAGCTAG